CAGGTCAGCCCACAATTGTATGGTGATAATCACACTAGACTCTTCACTTATTGGACTGTAAGTTTCTAAATATTCATATTCGGTTTTTGTTTTGTGTGTTTGGCTTTTGTTGAAGAATCATTCTTTTGTCTCCCCTGTGAAAAAACAGAGTGATGCATACCAAGGCACAGGCTGCTATAATCTATTGTGCTCGGGATTCGTTCAAATCAATAGGGAAATCGCAATGGGTGGTTCGATCTCTCCTTTATCGAACTACAGAAGCTCTCAATATGACATTACCATACTCATCTGGAAGGTCAATTTCTGAAAGTTAGATGCTTTTAGCTCCTTGATTACACGAAACAGAGATAGTCATTCGATTTTTTCTTCGGTTTTTAGATATGTATTCCAAACTAGAAACTATTCGGTTTTGGATAAATTAACCCAAAGAAAGAAACATAACTTTTTTTGGTTATTACTATGTATAATTAAATCTAGTTTGAATATATAGCTTAATGAATAATATTGTTCTGTTAATTCGGTTTGTTAGATAGAAAATTAATGCTACCTACCAATTTGTTTCTTAAACTTTAGTTCAGCTACAGTTTGAGGAATTTTGGTTTGTTATTTCTCAGGACCCAAAAGAAGGACATTGGTGGTTACAATTTGGAGAGAAATACATAATCGGATACTGGCCAGCTTCACTCTTCTCTTACTTATCAGAAAGCGCATCGATGATCGAGTGGGGAGGCGAAGTAGTTAACTCACAGTCAGAGGAAGGACAACACACAACCACTCAGATGGGAAGTGGTCGGTTCGCGGAGGAAGGTTGGGGCAAAGCGAGTTACTTCAAGAACGTTCAAGTAGTAGATGGATCGAATGAATTGAGAAACCCGGACAATCTTCAAGTCTTTACTGATCAAGAGAACTGTTACAATGTGAAGAGTGGTAATGGAGGTTCTTGGGGAAGTCACTTTTACTATGGTGGTCCGGGTCGAAATCCTAATTGCCCTTAAAAAATTTGGTCTACTTGTAGATCAATCCAAATCAATTGTATAAAACATATAAATTATATAGATACACATTCTAAAGTATATTGAATTCAGATTTCAAGAGTGGTTTAGGGTTTGTTTATGGTTTGTTCTAGAGTGTTTCTCTGTTTCTATTGAGTGAAGAGAAGATAAATTTATTTAAAGAACATGGTCCCATGTGTATACTGAAATTTCTATGATCATATTAATTAAAATTGTATTTGATTTGTATATGACCGGTACTATTTTAAAATTTTAGTGACCTGTGTTATTATTGCTTTGTCTGTAAATAACAAAACATGGAGATGGGACTTTTGATATTCATTAATCATCAGTCATAAACAGTATCCATAAGAATTATTGATCAAAACTTCCCTTCACAAATATAATAAATAGATGTATATGATATCATAATATAGTGGTCACTAATTCGTAGTACCATGATCTAGAATTCTAGATGGTGATAGCTCAATTGGTGGAATTTGCAAATTAGCGGAAAAAATATGTTTCAGATTTATGAATCAAAACTTCATTTCAATTGTATTGAAATTATGTTTTACTTGATCAACAAAACCAACTTTTCATAGTATAAATTTATAAATTTATCTAGTTCACAAGCAAGTTAGAACTTTATAACTTAGAGAGGTGAAATTCTTAAGATAATTAAAATCAAATTTAATACAATAGTTTCATCTATTCGAATTACAGATCTATATTCTGATAGTTTCTGTTAAAGTCAACGAGAAAATGTCGGCTTAGAGACCACAAGAGAGTTGTCTTCGATCGCGTTTGACGAGTTCTCAATCAAAAAAGTATGATCAATTTAACAAAGTAAGAGAATTTGAAACAATTTAACAAAAATATTCAATGGTGTCAAAGGAAAGCTCAACAAAAGAATGTACCAATCATATTAAAAAATCATGTACGTATAATAATGAACTGCTTGTAATTACAAGCTCGTGACCTCACACGGAATGGTTACATATATACAATAATTAAGTTTAGTTTGATTAATAACATATCGTTTGGTCAAATGTCATTTTATATTTTCGTAAAAATTATCTGGGTTAGCCAAAGCTATGCATGCATACAAGGGTTATTTAGAGCATCATTAATGGTAAAATTTTATAGGTGTTTTTAAATATAAAATTATTAAAATTTGAGTAAAAAGAAGAAAGAAAGTGTTTTTGGTTGAAATAATGGGGTGTATTGAAATATAAAATTAATAAAATTTGAGTAAAAAGAAGAGATAGTAGATATTTTTGAAGAGAGAGTGTCTTAGGAAGACATAAAAAAACACTTTTGGAGAGAAAATATATTTTAGTTGGGTGTGTTTAAATATAAAATTAATAAAAGTTGAGTAAAATGATGAAAGAAAAGATATAAAGTTGAGTAAAAAGAAGAGAGAGTGTGTTTTTAATATTTTTTTATTTAAAGACACCTACAAAAAAATCACCAATGCGGATGCTAGGGGACTAAGACCCGAACCTGAGTTTTATAGATTAAAATATAGTTTTATCGAAATAATGTGACTTATAAAAAGTAAAACACATGGGATTGCATTAGAAAAAATTTCTGCAAACATAATATAAATCAATAACCATAAAATTCACAACGAAAAATGGTTGTATACGTAATATGATTTTAGTGTTTATACTGCAAATATATAATCTGGTTAGAGTTGCGAAGGTCCTTTTATTTTTGGCCACCAGAAGGTCCGGTTAAAAAAATTAATAGTTAATGGAAATAAGCAATCTCTTCCTATAAAAGCCAATGAGTCTATCTAACAGTAGCTATGACGAGAATGGTCGGTTTCACGGTAGCTCTGATGGCGGTAGCAGTAACAATAGCTATTTGCGTTGATGGAAATGAGTTCTCCGATCATTGGAAGATTAAAATAATTAGACATTTGAAGTGATTCAACAAGCCTGCTCTTAAATCAATGGAGGTATTGTATAAAAATTTCATGACTAAAGTTTGAATGAAAATGAAATTCTTATTCGGTTTAATATTATCTTAAAGAGCGAAGATGGAGATGTAATAGATTGTGTTCCTGTCACTAACCAACCCGCTTTTGATCATCCTTTACTCAAAAACCATACAATACAGGTTTGCTTTTTTCATTTATATTGTTTAAGAACATGATATTTTTGAATCACTTGCAACACAAAGTTATGCATGTAGATGCCGAGATTCAATCCGGAGAGTGAGTCTACTTACACCAAGAAAGAGGCAAAGGCTATAACTCAGGTTTGGCACAAGAATGGAGAGTGTCCCAAAAATACTGTTCCAATAAGAAGAACAAAGAAAGAGGATCTCTTAAGACCGAAATCCATCAAGACATTCGAGGGAAAGTCTTATCAATGTCTTATCAAAGCATTTCCAGACCTTTTGATCCAACAATAGGTCATCAGGTACAACTACATTCACACACATATATGTATTGCCATTATTACTGTATACACCTGTGGCTTATATTTTTCCTTTCTTTTGGAGTGGCTTTAGCATGCGGTAATGAGTGCGAGGAATGGAAAGTTTTATGGGACAGAAGTTGCGATAAATCTGTGGAAACCATATGTCCAAATTCCCAAAGAGTTTAGCTTGGCTCAAATTTGGGTTGTGTCCGGAAATGGCTCTACTCTTAACACCATTGAAGCTTGTTGGCAGGTTGTTTAGTTCCTTCTTGATGACATCTTCTTTGTTCCTATGCAAAACACTTAAATAACTCTATCTTTGTTTGTCTTAATTTATAGGTTTATCCAGAACTATATGATGATAATAATCCTAGATTCTTTGTTTATTGGACGGTATGTTCTCTGTTTGTGCAAATTTATGCGTGTACTCATGAACATAAGAAACACTAATCATTTGAAAAACAAAAGTTTCCCTAGTTTTTGAATCCTAAATAAAATCAAAGAAGTCTATGCTTATTTGAGCGGTTCACAACCCAAAATCCCATATTTTACCACCAATACTACATAACTGAATTCAAATTATGTTTTTGTTGTTGCGTGAATAGCCGAATGGATACCAAAAAACAGGGTGTTACAACCTTCTATGCTCGGGTTTTGTTTAGACAAGTAATCGATACACTCTAGGTGGATCTTTCACCACCGTGTCACGCTACCGTGGAACTCAATATGATCTTCCCATACTCATATGGAAGGTAATAATCAGAGTTCCATTTCTCCTTAACAATTTAAGATCATATATTCAAGGTAACTTGAATCACAAGATATATACCTTTCTCTTTCTCTAACCCAATATCGAAAATCCCCAATCATCAGGATCAGGAAACTGGTGGCTAAAGATCAATGACAATGACATTATAGGTTACTGGGCTGGCTCGTTGTTTACTTCTCTAGGAAGAGAAGCTACGAGAGTTGAATGGGGAGGCGAAATCATTAACTCGAGGAACGGTGGGAGCAGGGCCGTGCCTAGCTATTTGGGGGCCCAAG